GTTCCCTCTGTACTCGGCACAGGTGAAGCCGCACTTCTAGTACTGTGTTCAGTTTTGGGCCCCTCACTACAAGAAGAACAGTGAGTTGTTGTAGTGTGACCAAAGAAGGGCAACGAAGCTGGTGAGGTGTTTAAAGTACGAGTCCTATGAGGAGCAGCTGAAGGAGCTAGGGTTGTTTAGCCTTGAGACGAGAAAACTGAGGGGAGACCTTATTGCCTGAAAGTGCCTGAAAGAAGATTGTAGCAAGGTGGGGGTCGATCTCTTCTCCCAAGTAACAAGTGATTGCAGAGGAGGAAATAGCCTCAAGTTGTGCCAAGGGAGGTCTAGGAAATATTGAATATTAGGAAAAATCTCTTAGCTGGAAGGGTTATCAAGGACTGGAACAGGCTGCACAGGGAAGTGGTCGAGTCGCCATCCCTGGAGGTATTCAAAAGACGTGGAGATGTGGCACTTGGGGACATGGCTTAGTGGTGGACTTGGCAGTGCTAGGTTAGCGGTTGGACTCTGCTCTTAAAGGCATTTTCCAACCTAAGCGATTCTATGATTATCTTATTGGTGTACTAACATCCACCTCCAGAGCTGCCAAAGCAGCAGAGGCGGCTGCATCCCGTGTTGGTGGCCCTGTTAGAGAAATTCATTTGGTGCCATACCACCACATCCTGTCCCGTCTCAGGCCAATGGAAACTTTATGGACTGTCACAGAGAATCTTCATGCTTTTTTCTGCCCAACATATATGAGCTAGTTTTGATGATGGGCCTGGTTATAGAGATTAATACTATTCATGTGTGGGTGGTTAATGAAGTCCTTCCCATATTCAAGCCCTGTTTTTCTTCCCTAATTTCTTCTTTGCTTAGGAAATAACAGAAATGACCAACCGAGAAGAAGCCGAGATACAAATTTCTGAATTAGATTTACTCGCTAGCATGTTTCCTTATGAGGAAGAGTTCATTGTGACTGACCAACTGGCTGTAGCAGAACTAAAGCACTATGCTGAAAATGAGTCTGCAGAGATGCCATCTTCAAAAGTTCAGTTTATACTGAATGTAAAGCCAGAGGTCCCTCATGCCTCCATGGTATCGTAAACACCTTTTAAAAAAGTTTTATTTTTATTTTGTGAGATTTTTAGGGTTTACTTGAACTGAACATTTGCTAATTTGTTTTCAGGTGGAATTCTCTATGGCCTGTGCTTTACCATTTAAATATCCAACTGTCCTACCAGAAATTACCGTGAGGTATGGCATTAAATGTACAGCTAATAGAAACATTTAGAAGCTATGTTGTACCACATAAATGCAGTTATAATAGGAAAAAGAAGTCCTTTTTTGATAGTTTACTGTCAAATTAAGCCAGATGGACAATGATGTTGAAGAAAAATGAAACTTCAAGATTATAATTTCTTTGGTGTCCTCAGCAAATAAGTGAGAAAAATGGGAAGAGTGTGGAGGAGTGCCGTCTTCTGTACAGAGGAGTTACATCTAGATACTGCTCATAGGTCTGATGCTCGAGAAGAAAGACTGTTGTCCATTTTGACAAGGCTTAACACTAACTAAAGGAGTGTAAAGTTACTCAATGGTCTTATTCTTCCCTTGTCAAAAAGCTATTACTCCCAGACCTCTGTTGTTTTTTGTTGGAACATTTCCTGTTAAAGAAGTAGCCATGCGTATTACAGAAAATTAGTTCAGCCACCAAACTTACTTTTCACACACCTTTTTCTTTATTTTAATTTACAGATTGGCAGTACTGTAGGTGAGCTCAAGAGTTAGCACACTGATGAAATGTTAATTAAGATCTTTTCATAGATAATGTGACTTAAATAGCAATGGCAAGTGTGTACCATTTAAATACGGCCTGATTTTTTTGACAGATTGAAATAAAACTGTTTGAAAAACATGCTAAATTGTAAGCATATTACAACTGCATTTATATTTTTCTTTAGGTCATCATTGTTAAGCCGCTCTCAGCAGATTCACCTGAACTCTGATCTAAAAACATATTTGATGCAAAACTGCAGCGGTGAGCCCTGCATGTTGAGTGCAAGGGAGTGGGTTAAAGACCATGCAGCTGCTTACATTGACAAAGAGCTTTCATCTTCCTCAGTGACAGCGTCAGTTGCCACACAGGCAGAAGACATAACTTTCACTCGATTGTGGATCTACAGTCATCACATTTACAACAAGCAAAAAAGAAAGAATATTATTGACTGGGCCAAGGAGCTCTCTCTGTCAGGTTTTTGCATGCCAGGGAAGCCAGGTGTTGTTTGTGTAGAAGGTCTCCAGAGTAGTTGTGAAGAGTTCTGGTCAAGGTTAGTTTTCCTTTGTACTTAAATGCCATTAGTAATTAGAATATTACATGTTTCGTGTTGTGTATGTTGCCAGAAGGTGGGAAATCAAACCACCTTCCAACCTGGAAAGGTCTGTGAAGTATTTGTGTTTATCATAACGTATTTACAACTCTGTGTACAACTCCACTGTACTGTTGGTTACAGCAATCAAAACTACTAGTATCACACAGTGCACATTTATTTCTGTTTTATCTTGCTCTGCATTTCACTTGTACAGCAATGGACTGCAGTACCCCAGTCGTGTTAGAGAGGTATGCTGTTATATCGCTTTACATTTGTGTTTTATTCTGCTCTCATCGTTTATACTTCTGGGAGATGCAGGCTAAATGAACATTGTCATTAGATTATAACAGCTAAAAGAGTATGAGAATAAGAGAATTCTTAGCACTGGCAAGGCAGGAGTAAGCACTGAAATTGAAACCACATCTTCATCAATTATTTGGTGAGGAATAGCATTACAGTTTTTGAATCCTGAGAATGTATAAAGAAACAAGATCCTATTATGAGAGTGTTTGTGTGTGAGTAGTACTTTTTATGACCACCTAGGGAACCATTATCTCTGTGAAGATATAGGTACAAATGGAATTTATTGACTTCTGTGATAATAGCTATTTTGTAGTATTTTCTAAAGCAGTATTTTATAGATCGATTCATATTTCTGCAATTGCTTTCAGAGTAAGAAGATTAACATGGAAAAGAATTCTCATTCGGCACAGAGAAGATGTTTCTTTGGAAGGTGGAGGACCCACTGAGATTCAGAAACAAAGAAAGTTCTCCACTTTGGAAGAAAAGTGTTTTGATGCACATGGTGCCAGAGGAAATCATATGGATTTGGGGCTGCTTTATCGTTTTTTAGAAGAAAAAGGATGTGCTGACATTTTTCAGATGTACTTTGGGGTTGAAGGGCATTGAAGGAGTTGAAGATCACCACAGGTCCGAGCGCTTACATTTGTAATTTAATCCTGGTAACAGATTCCTTCGCTTTTCTGCAACAGTTGATCAGAAAGGGAATTAATAATTTGTAGTTTATATGATGGATGCAGTTTTCAGTGAAAACAAATATCCAGTGATATCCTGAATAATGCAAATGACTAAATGAATGCTTTATTGAACATCCTGGTTTTAAGGACATTTAGGGTACATACCTAATTACAATGAAAGAAAGTATGTCTGATAACCTACCAGGCAGTTACAGAATTACAGATGAATTAATAGATGGATTTATAGTGAATGATTATGCGAATGAATGTATGATTAAGAAGAGACAAAAAATGTGGACATTTCAGGAGAGGAAATGTGATGTTTACATTATTTGTTACTGTTTACATACACTACATGAAGACTTTTGTAACAATTTTTTCTTCTACTTTCTACCTGAAAGTATATTAAGCCATGAGATTAATGTTTTATTTTTAAAAAAAGGAGGGAGCAAGTTCACAAAAGCTTTGTTCATGCCAATGAGATGAGCTAGGATGCCTACACTAAGGCATAAGAATTTTCTGTAGGTAAAAGTGTGTACACCGGTAAGAGAGGTGCTGTGGTGGCTCCACTACATCTCCAGCTGAGGAGCCCAGGCTGTTGCTGTGATTCATGCAGTTGCTCTGTCACCCGATGCCGCCTCCCCACCGGGGGAGGGGAGTTGGGAAAAGGAAAGGAGATTGATGGGTTGAAATGCAAATAGATTTAATAAAATAATAATAATAAAAACTAATATTAGTAACAGTTATAATATAAAATACACAGAGTTATACGTAGCCAATACTGTGAGGGTTTAGGCCTCAAGAGTAGGATGGTAAAAACTCCCTGCAGCCTCTGCACCTGTTTATCTCAAGACCACTGGAGACCTTGAGCATCACACACCAGCTTTAGCTGAGACCTGTAACAAACTTTTACCACTATGTTCCCATGAAATAGTGTCATAGTCCTTATAAAATCGCAGTTTTCCTCAACAGAAAACGGATTCTAAAATTCTGTCCTGTTAAATTGGGGCTGCTGTTTACTCAGAGCAACAGTTTACCAAGGATTGGGCTCCCATTCAGTGCACTCCAAAACAGGGAAAAGCCCCTTACCCTGCTGCGTTTACCAGTTTGCAGCCCACTGATTTAGAGTGCGTTATGCTGCTTAAGTTTTCGAGTCTGATTTCAACAAATTTGTATGTGTATGAATATGTAAGATTGCTAATTTGTCTCTGTTATCTGAATCCCGTACGTGTCGTAAAAAGCCGATTGGTTGCTTCTGATGCCGATTAAATATTTCTGCATAGATCTGTTAAAATTCTTTACATTCAGGTACCCCGTTCTCTCCACGGCCTGTCCCGTCCCGTCCCGTCCCCACCCCCTCCTCACCGGGTACCGGCGCTCCCAGCAGCTCCGCCAACGCCGGAGGAGCGCCGGGCCTGGCCCCGCCTTCCGCCTCCCCCGGAAGTCCCTCGCTACCAGTACCGGCCGCGCTGCTTCTCGCTCCCGGACGGTGTTCAACGCCGCCGCCGCCATGGGGGGCAAGAACAAGCAGCGAACCAAGGGCAACCTGCGGGTAAGTGTCTGTCCGTCGGTGGCTCCGGCGGGCCTTTCCCGTCTCCTCTCGCCTCAGCGGGGCCGGGGAGGGTGGTGGGGCTTGGGCCTCGGGCAGGTTAAGGCCTCCTCTCCCCTCCTGGTGCCTTGAGAAGGGGGCTGTAGGCCGCCGAAGCCCGTTGGCGGGCCCGGTTGGCAAGAGCTGGGGCTGGAGCCGCCGCCGGACTTCAAGGGGCGACTCCTGACCTGAGCTCGGGCTTCAGGGGAGCGTGACTGCAACTTCCCGTGGTGTCTGTCTGCATTTTGCAAGGAGCGACAGGGATAGAGGGTGTAGGTGCGAAATCACAAGGGGTCTAAATTCAGAAAGGTGCCAGTGGGTACCGTTAGCGTGTTTTTCTATGGAGGATCTTGGAGTGCACCTGTCGTGGTGTCTCTTGTCTTGCTGCTGTGCCCGAAGGAGTGTGGTGGCCATCGTAAGTGGCTTTCGTTCGGGATGGAAGAAGTTGGAAGAAGTGCGGGTGAAGCAGTGTGTTCAGGTTATGTAAACCCTACAAATCTCTTTCTCATGTATTTAGAGGCAGCTAGGGAACACAAAACAGAATGTCCTTCTAGATGAGGTTTCACATGCAGAAAGAAATGACTCAATCTGAAGGTAGAGTAGCAGGTAAGATGTGGCTTACGTACCTTAATGACATCGGAAAAGTACGATGAACTTCGGCAGAGTTTTTTTACTTAAAAAAAAACAAACCCAAACAACAACCACAACAAACTCAGAAAACTGCAGCTGTTGTTAGGAAATAAAAGGTATTTGGACTATAAGATATCACAGAGAACATTAAAACATAAGTCAGTTTTGGGACTGACTTTCAAAAAAGACCATGGTTGAAATAAACATGAGCCACTGATATGGCGAGCAAGGTGTTGACTTAACTGGGACACACTAGAAGAGATGCTCAACTGCAAAACACTCACTGTAGTACTGATGGGATAGTATTATACTGTGTTACATATCACAGAATCACAGACTGTATTGGGTTGGAAGGGTCCTTGAAAGATCATCCAGTCCAACCCCCCTGCCAGAGGAGGATCACCTAGACTAGGTCACACAGGAACGCGTCCAGACGGGTTTTGACTATCTCCAGAGACATATGTACCATTTTGCTCCATTCCTCTACATCCTTCTTGGCCCCTCTGTTGTTGGTAGCATCCTTTGTTTTGTGTGTGTTCTTTTCCTAGTGACACGAAGAGCATTCCTTGGGACCAGTGTTGGTCCATATGCAGTAACATGAGAACATCTAGTAAAAACAGAAGTAGTGAAAGAGGGTAAATGGTTTCTTATTCAATTGTTCCCTTGTGGAAGGCCTTTTCTGTTACACTTTTTTTATCTGTATAAAAACAATACAATGTTCCATAAGTGTTCATGAATTAAAATCACTGAGAAAAGAGAATGCTGATTCTAAAGAATAATTTTCTAGGACAAACATCTATGTTTAAAGCATAGGTGGCCTTTTTTTGGTGAGACACTATTTTAAATAGAAGGTTAATTATACAATATAAATGGGATCATTATTTCAAATGCATGATGTGTGCAAAAACGAAATAAAATGACGGGACTAGATCACTGACTTATGTCCCTGTTTTTTGGCAGCCTTCTAGCAGTGGCCGAGCTGCTGAGCTCCTCGCCAAAGAACGTGGAACAGTGCCTGGGTTTATCGGCTTTGGCACATCTCAGTGCGATCTAGGATATGTTCCTGCAGTTCAAGGAGCAGAGGAAATAGACAGCCTTGTGGATGCTGATTTTCGAATGGTGTTGCGAAAGCTTTCTAAAAGGGATGTCACAACAAAATTAAAAGTAGGTATATCTTTCCTCCCCTGGAACATCTTTTAATCATAAAACAGTACCTTTTCTTGAGTATGGGAGAGGACTATATCAAGGTAGTACTGTGTTCATATTGGTAAATTTGCTTGAGCTGCAGTGCAAAAGGTATCCTGGAGGACTTATGAAAAGGTCCATCACGCAGTGCTGACAGAGCATTCATTAAATTTCCTGTAGATGCTCAATTGGAGGAAATTAATTGATTTTTGAAAAAGAGAGTTGCAGTGTCTGCTAGAAGCTGGTAAATTACAGAAAATGCCTGACTTCATAAATCATGCTCTTGATATCTTGATTTTAGGCTATGCAAGAGTTTGGAACAATGTGCAAGGAAAGAGAAGCGGAAGTTGTTAAAGGTGTCCTTCCTTACTGGCCAAGAATTTATTGTAAAATCTCACTAGTAAGTATTAAAGGATCTAAATAAAAAAACTTCTCTGGATATTTCCTGTGAAAATCTCTAAGGCAGTCTTTGTTGATATATCTAACTTTGTTGGAATTGTTGACTTGTTGTAGGGGAAACATGAAGTTGAAAGAAAGAAGTGTTATTTATTGTGGAGTTGTTTCGGTATTGGCAGTGACTGGAATCTTGAACTGTTCATCCCTGGGCTGTACATACTGGATGGAGATAGATGTTTGTTAGACCTCTGTATTAAAAAGATGACAAGATATTTCTTCTCATGAGGAATTCTTTTATGTAGCTTCCAGAACAGCTAAAGAGAATGTACTGTTCAGTTATCATAATTGTAATTGTTTTTGATCTAGGACTAATACCTGACCAGACTTAATAAAACCCTGAGTAAACAAAAAACAACATAAAAAAGCCCACCAAAAACCTCCAAACATTGTAAGACCATGTGTAGCTAGGTAATCCATCATTTTCTGATGTATTTAATACATCTCCAAGCTATCTGGCTTACTGGCTAAGCTAACTGGCTACTGTTGGAAACATGATATTTGGCAACATGAATCACTATTCTGACCTAGTAAAGCAATTCCTAGTATTTCTTTCAGGAGCCAAGGGCATAAAACTTCATTATGTTGTAAATTCATATGCAAATAATGGTTAATGAGGCACAGTTTGTGTAGGCTTATGGTTGTTTTAACCCAAGAAGTGTCTTCAAGGCTTCCTGTTTCCCTTGCCTCTTATATTTCTGTCAAATGTTTGTATAAAATGGAAATAGAAACCGTAGTTAGGGATATCAGGAACAGGTTAAAACTGAATGTACAACACATCAGGAATATGATGCTCCTATGTTAGGACTCTCTCCTTTTCTAGGGATACCAAGACTTCTTAGCTGTTGTGTATTTTCAGATACATACGTTCATTGTAAAAAAGGGTGAACTGAAAGACAGCTCTTTTTGTTTGGTTTTGTTTTTGATCATCACTTCTGCTTTGAAGTACCAAGCATCAAGGGTACATTTCTTAGAACAATAAACCTTCTTTTTTTTCTTTTTAACAGGATCATGATCGCCGTGTTCGAGAAGCAACTCAGCAATCTTTTGAGCAACTGATTCTTAAAGTAAAGAAACACTTAGCTCCTTATTTAAAAAGTATCATGGGATACTGGCTGATTGCTCAATGTGACACTTACTCTCCTGCTGCCTCTGCTGCAAAAGCAGCTTTTGAAAAAGCTTTTCCTTCAAGCAAACAACCTGAAGCCTTAGCATTCTGTAAAGATGAAATTCTTAATGTGAGTTCACACTTGTGTATTTCTTGAAGGCTTTCTGTTGAGTATACATCAACTTGTAATAAAAGTCTAAAACTCATCCTGCCCCCATCTTCGTGGTTAAATTTCTTTCTCACCTGAAATTTTGCTCCTGCTAATGTGACAAGAAGACTGAGGCAAAGACACATCCTCTGTTTTTCTTGACTTGTGGTTAGAATGATTGGAACCAGAGGAATTAAGATGAAGTGAATTTTCTTGTGTGCATTTCCATGTAACGATGCTCAGTCATCACATAATGTTGCTGACAGATGGAATAGTGTCACCAGAGTAGTTTAGCTGCAGTAGTAGAGGATTAAAGAATGCTGAGTGGTCTCTCAGAGAGCCTCTACAAGTTTAGTTCTGACCAAGGCTAACGCTCTTCTGTCAGTCTTATATGAAACTGAATTGACTGAGTTTAAAAAGGTGAAAGTTTGCATTGCTGGCCTGTCATACACAAACTATTATTTTGTTTTGTCTTAGTTTGGCTTCTTTTTACCAGAAGCCGGTTGTCATAGGACTGCAACTTAGAAAATATTATGAAGTCTTGATTCAAACAGTACCACAGCTACTGTGTTCAGTAGGAGTCAGTTAGGGCAGGAGTCAGTTAGGTTATGTTCTTGTTCACTAGCATGTCTAAAATGTATTTGAAAGGATTGGCTCAGAGGTGAAGTTTTATTGTAGAGCTGTTTCTGAATAACGTATAGATTTGCATACAAGTATTAGATTCTCATGTGTATATATGTATTTTTCTCCCCTAGGTACTTCAAGATCACCTTGTGAAAGAAACACCTGATACGCTCAGTGACCCCCAGTATGTTCGCCTGCTTTGATGTTTGGTTTAAGTCTTGGTCTGTCTTGAGTTCTCTGTCCCTAGAGGTAGTGGATTTAGTTTTGTTTCAGGAGACAGAATAGTTAGTTATGAGTCCAGATCCCAGCAACTTTCTTTGGGACTAAAGTATAAATGTTTTTGTAAGTGTTATCAGTTGTTTAATTGTTGTTTCAACTCTTTTAGGAGTAGCGTTTTTGAATAGCTGAAAGATGAGATTACTTGAAACTCTCTTTTTTCTAACACTTTATAGTGTAATTTGGTAGCATTAGAACCTATGGAAAGTTTACATATTTACATTGCTGGCTTCTGAAATCAAAAGAACTCAGAAAAACTGAAGACAGTTCAGTTTAGGCAGTTCAGAAGAGCTTTAGAAGCCTACTGATTTATTTATGGTTCACTTTAATTTTATGTCTTCCTTTGTTTTCTGAGAACCGTACCAGAGGAAGAAAGGGAAGCCAAATTTTTCCGGATTCTGACCTGTTCCTTGTTAGCTTTAAAGAAGTTGCTTAGCGTGTTGCCAAAGAAAGAGATGCTTTCATTGGAGGAGAAGTTAATGTCACTTCTGTCCCAGAACAAATTTTGGAAATACAGCAAACACAGCATACCACAGGTGACACTTTTATTTCTCTTTATTTTGGTTATGTTTAGTTAGTACACTGAACCTAAGCAAGTATTAATTACTTGTGTTCTACAAGAATGAACTTTGTACTTCACTGAATTACGTTTGAAACAGCCTTCAAATTTCTAGGCCTCGAAGAGAAGATACTGCTTTAAAGTTTGCCCTGTAGGCTGATGTGTTATTTTTCTGTCACTATCAGATACTTCTTGGCAATCTGCCATCATTTCAAATTAATGTAAAAGATACGAACTCTGTCAGTTTACTGCATGTGTTCTTAGTGCTTTTGAATTTTCATTTTTTTATTGGTCTTTGGTCTGCTAAGACCAGTAGTGCATAGAGTGATGAAATGGTTCTGGTAGTATTTTGTTTAAAAGTTTTAAGGTGCTTTTGGGAAAACATGCCTTTTGAGAAGTATATTAAACTAAATTTTTTTATAAGCATTTTATCATTAAACAAATTGCTTTAAAATATCAAACAGGCTTATCAAATAATGTCTTTATTTTTCTTTAGTAATATTTAAACCTTTGCTGATGTGATAAAATATGAGGACCACATGTTGAAAGTTACGGTGACTTTAAGAAGAATGTTATAAACTACATGTAGTGACAAAGTGTTCTCATTTGACTAAATGTTTTTTCCTGTGATCTATGCCAGGTTCGCTCTGCTTTCTTTGAGCTGGCCTCTGCTTTTTGCCAGTACTTGCCTGAGCTGGTGAGAACTGAAGCACCAAGAGTTTGTCCTGCTCTTCTTCTCAGCCTTGACGACAGTGATGCAGTGGTGTGCCCTGCTCTTTGGGAAGCTGTACTTCATGCTATCACCACAATTGAGGTAATATGGGGAACCTAAGAGGCAGCTATTTTACTTTAATTTAATTTTCACCTTGCCATTGTTCTGTGTGTAGAATTAAGAAGAACAGATTGACTGGGTTTTCTTTATGATTAATAGTGTGAACTTATCAATGCTACATGCTCCTCCTTCCTCCTTGGGGTTTCAGTGTAACTTTCAAATATATTGTGTCCAGTATGTCTGAAAATCAGGGATATAAGTTTAATTAAATTAACCTGAATTCCTTTGATTAAAAACAGCTACTAATAAGTCAAATAATAACTAAACCCTTTTCTTGGTTAAAAACGGTTACGAAAATGACCTGCAGTGCATTTTTTGTTTGCTTGTTTCCCCTTCTAATTTAATGCTTCCTTCCTTGGAAGGGTTTCATGGAATAGAATCATAAAGGTCTTTTCCAGCCATAACAATTCTATGATCATAAAATCACAGAATCATTAAGGTTGGAAAAGACCTCTAAGATCATCAACCCAACACTACCATGTTCCGAAGTGCCACATCTACACAGTTTTGGAACACTTCCAGGGATGATGACTCCACCACTTCCCTGGGCAGCCTGTTCCAATCTTTGATAACCCTTTCAGTGCAGAAGATTTTCCTAATGCCTAACCTAAACCTCCCGTGGCATTTCCTTTCGTCCTATTGGTTGTAACCTGTGAGAAGAGACCCACACCCACCTCTCTACAACCATTTATGGGAGAAAAATACCTTTCTTCAGCTTGCTATAACTATAGGTATCTGGAACTGTGATAGATCAGACAATAAAAAAACTTTGGTGTGTGGGAGGAAAGTCCCAGGGTAACTTTTGTAACCATCAGAAGATTTGTGAGGAGAGTTTTGAAGTTAGTGATGCTTCTAAAGTTAGTATTTTGAAGTAATTGCTTATTCTTCATAATAATAACTCAAAATTAAATACAGGACCAATTACAATAATGATTTTTATGAAGCATCTTTAGAGCATTATTAAAGAGGAGCCTTTAATTGCAGTTTGCTAACAAGGAAGATACATTGTTTTTAAACAATACAGAAAGAATTTTATCACATTAACTTCTTAAATTCAGAAGAATTCCTGGTGAAATAGGAAGAAAGTGATTTTTTAAAAATACTGGCATATGAATTTTAATTTTACAATAAATTGTTTCAGCTTCGCCATAGGGAGGTGGATTGAATGTCTGGCTTGGGAGTTTTTCCGAGACAAGTTCTCATTCAATTTACAAGTGTATTTCTTTCTGTAGGACTGTTGGAGTCATGTAAATGCCAAAAAGGGAGTTCTACCAAAGCTGTGGACAGTGCTTCGAGAAGGTGGACGAGGACTAGCTACCATCATCTACCCAAATCTCTTGCCATTCATTAGCAAGATACCTCCTGGCATTGCAGAACCAAAGCTGGAATATTTTAGAACTTTTTTCAGCTCTATAATTCAAGGGTATGCACCACAATTTGTTTTACTATTTTTTGGTTTTTTTAATCAGTCTCTTTTACATTTGGGAATAGGAGAACTAGTCTTCTTTGGGCATTTAAAGATAACTGAGGTATCATTTGACTTGAGAATATTTAAATATGCCTTAATGGTTTATTTGAGAAAAGGCTGTTTTCACTATCATATTTGAAATGATATTTTTAAATACCCAAAACTAGAGTCAGTCCTTTGTGGCTGTCCCTGTCTCCGTAAAACTTCTTCTTCTTTTTTGATCTCATTACTTCTTCCTTACCTAGAGCATTCTTATCTTGTCAAAACTTGTGTTTATTCCATGTTAAGTTTTAAAATGGAAAATTAATTTAAAATTAAGAGTGGCTTTGAAGAGACCAGGCTCTTCTCACCAGTGTGCAATTATTACAGAGGTTACTGGAGATTGGCATTGTTGTTGTGAAATTTCCTGTATGTAGGAACTTCAATTCTTGTGATACTGATTTTTAAGGGATTGAAACTGATACCGTGTTTTGCCTTTAAAATACATCAACACTGACTTTCTACCAAATCTAATTTAAATAGATGCATGTGCATTGTGTATCCAAAAACACATATTAGTTATTAACTTATTTAAACAAAAATCGATTCTTGATTAATGTTGGTGTGGCCATTAGCAGAGCTCTTAGAAAGGAGAGTTACATATGGGTTGGTTTTGAAGAGTGTGTAGAATATTTGTGTGGTCTGATTTTCACTGAAAAGCAACATATCACAGTTGTTTAGTCTCAAGCTGATTATGGTGAAACTGTCTTGGTGGCTTTTTGGTTTAGATTTTAATTTTACATTTTTTCTGTAGTGACAGAATGTGTCACCTTCTAAACATCTGTGGTGTGTGTAGAAAATTGCTAAGGAGTTTTGACAGACAGCTTCAACAGTAGACGGTATACTTGACTAGATGTGTTTCCTCTATTTACATAGATGATTTTTTTTCTCTTTTTTAAATGAATGCTAAAACTAGACAAAAAAGTTATTTTAATATAAGTTATAATAAACACCTGGATTTATTATTTTGACTCTTTAAATGCGTCCTATTGAGTTGTTTTGATCTGACTCCTGTCTATGATTCTATATTTTCATGTTGGTGTTGTGTGGATAAGAATAGCATAACCAAGGTGACGTTCATGACATACATGCTGGGTGTTTCTTAGAGGTGTAGGTGACTGACTCTGCCTTCCCTCCAATGTTGCCTTTCCATAGGTTGTTGAGTGAGCGAGCAATAGCCAGCCCCTCGGAAAGTTCAGCAATCATAACCGCGTTTATGGAATGTCTGCGCTTTGCCATACTACAGAAAATAGATGAGGAAGATGACCAAAGACAAATTCATGAAATGCTTGTAAATGACCAGGTATTTATTAGAAATATTTAATATTGTTGTGTGTACTTTTAATAATTCAAAGTTAAACATAAATCTCTATGAAGAATATTTCAATAGATTTTATGGAAAAAATCATCTTACTGAATTTATTCAGTTTCCCCCTCACTTTTAAATAATTCCTTTTACTGTGCAGCTTAAATTACTTTTTTTTTTTTTTTAAATAAAGCAAAGAAAAAATAAGCATCCCATCCTGTATATTTCTATTAAGTGTTCAAGTATAAGTAATTATGATGTTTTTGGAATTGCTTCTGAAGTGTTTTTCCAAATTACAGATTTTCCTGATATTATAAAGAATAAAATGATCTTCTAGTTAGATTACTGTTCTTTAATTTTTTTTTTGTCTTTATAGCTAATTCCTCTTACCAATGCAATACTTAAGGAGCCCAGGTTACAAAATGGACCATTATTTTATCAAATAGCGGAAACATTGAGCTCCTGGGAAGCTAAAGTAGAATCCTCCAATGATGATGGCACAGATGAAGTTTTCCAGAAACTGTTGTCAAATTTTTGGGACCATCTTTTAAAAATGTGTGTGCTTCATGTTGATATGTTGGATGCTGATGAGAAATCATTGTTTGCCGTATCTGGAATGCTAGAAATTCTTCAGAATCCAAAGAGTGCTACAAAACTGAACAGCAGAAAATCTCTAAAAATCAGATTTACAGATGAGGATGAATCTGAAAGAAACGCAGAGAACGGAAAGCTCACGGAAACGCGAAATAGTGACCCCGAAATGCAGGCTGACATGCAGCATAGTTCACTGCTAAGGAAAGAACCTTTAGAGAATTTAGTCTGCAACCTTGCTGAACTGGGTATTGTGTATGTCAATGAGCAGAAGTCAGAACGGCATTTGAAATTTCTCTCTGCCCTGCTCAACTCTTTTTCTTCAAACAGAGTTTTTCACGTACTTTTAGAGCAGGGAAATGGTGCAAGCTCTGCTCAAGCTGAATCCCAAAATGTAATTGAAGCTCATCATGACAGTCCATCTGTACGATTTCTGTATATGAATTTAATAACTTGGCTGAAAGAAGACTGGAGAAAAGACACCCATTTTCTGGTTGATATTTTGTACAGTGTGCTTAATTGTTGCAGCAGTGATGATGAAAGGAAAATAATTCTGGATGATTTAACAAAGGTATGACTCTAGTTCAATTTCTTATTTTTATCAAAGTGACTACTGTTCTTGTGGGTTGTGGTTGGTTAATTATTTTCTTTTGGAGCTGTGAAATGGAAGATACTCTACATGAACTTGGGTAAGTTCAGCGTAGGGAAGGTAGATTTAGGAAGAGTTGACATGATAGTGTTGTCGTGAAAGGTTATGACATGTCCCTCCCTATATGTTATAAATTATATATATATATATAAAAGGTAGCATCAGAATTCCTTTGTTCTTGCTTGCTTATACAGTGTGCTTTTATACTAGTCATCAGTGGCCTTTCTTATAAATATAGTCCCTTATTCATCTGTGTGGTAGAGAAAGACTTGGAAGCAAAAAATTATACAATCAACAATGTTGTTAGTGAAATGCAGCAACTTCTGCTTATCCCCTACAGAAAATAAAGTTGTAAAACAAAGAATTATAATGGTATTAAATGCTTCCTATTGAGCAAAGAATTTGTTAAATACTGTGGAATTTCATTTTTCTTTTCAGATGGATCTGAAATGGATTATTTTTCTACAGATAATTCAAAAGGTACCTCGTAAGACTTTCTTCTTATTGTTTTGCATAGTTTTGAATATTTCCCTGGTGTTAGTTTTGAGAGTTACATGTGGTTGAGTGCCTTTGTTGTTGTTAATTTAAGTAGTGATAATTTCCATAGTTCAAAAACCTTCTAGTAATAGTTTGAGTGTTGTTTGGTTTAACTGCATTTAAATCTGGGGACAGTCTTGGAAATGAAATGATACCAAAACAAAAGCATCTTTGTCCCTTCTGTTTTCGGTCAGTTTGCTCTTTGAGCCAGTGGGATTCCTGATTTATTTCTGGTCATCCCTTCTAAACTAGAAAGAATGGAGTTGGGTATTGGAAGAATAATGTAGATGATTATTTGTGTCATCACCGTTACATCGTGCTTACAAGGAAAAGATAGTATACCTTTTTTTTCACATGGGATATTGAGAGAATGACATTTAAGTGATTGCCTGGGATGAAATACGAAGTGTATTACAAAATTTTGGACAAGAGCTCATAGCACTTGCTTTACAATCGAGTGCATTGACCATAGGCATTCCCTGGGCTCTATAGTTGGAGAAAAGGAAAAAGAACTTTCAGAAGGTGACTTGTTTCATTCTAGAGGTCTGACCTAGCTGTAAGTTGCTGTCTGACCAAAAAGAAAGTTGGGGGGATTATTGCAGACATGAACACCCAGAGACTTGCTGTTTATGACAGATGATATGATTCCCACTCTGTGTGTCCAGGTTTGACACACTAATCTTGTGCTTAGTAATAAAAGTTAATACCCTCAAAAGTATTAACTTTTAGTTAGTTATTTAGTAGTTATTATTAGTAACTCTAATAAAGAGTTATTTTCTTATGATTCAGGCATGCTCAAGCACAATAAAACTCTCCTTAGTCTCTGACTGGCTGAAAGGAGATACACTTGGAGAAAGACTTGTAGTGCTGGCAGATGATCTGTGTCACCTGGGTTTAAAAGCTGTAGCAGCCTCATCAGAATCATCCTCTTCAGAAAGGTGGACCCTCCTGAGCTTAGTGTTGTCACAACACATTAAAAATGGTAAGAAGATTTATTCCTTGGAGTTTGTGAAGTGAAAATACCGCACTTACACTTTGTAGAAGGTTTAAAGGAATTTCTCTTCCAGATCATGATTTATTCTTTTTTATTTGATTTCCATTCTTTTGATTTATTAGCTCATGTGCTGTAAAATAATGTTAATTTTCAACCCATAACATCAGAAATTTGCCTTTAAAACTAGAATATCAAAAATCAATGGTTATGGATTCATGCATGTATTGGTAATGCCTTGTTACAGAGCCTATGAATTGCTTTGAGCAGTTTTCAGTTAGATTAATCCATTCTAAATGCTGTGTGCACACTTATGCTATATATGTAATCTATCTTTTATTAGTAACATCCTATTTTCTTCCTTGAATTTTGTGTTATCTGAGATTAGAATTCTAGTGGACTTCAGTTTTCCTGATATTTTTCCATGTAAATCTGTTGTTGTGTTTAAACTCAGCATTTGCTTTTTGATCCCTGGGGTAACATACTGCAGTTTATCTAAATGCTGGGTGCATTTGTGGTGTTGTCAAGTTTCAGAGATGCACACAACAAGTTGACTGCAGTGACGTTCATAGACAGCGCGTCCTGAAGGTGTTGTAAGAGTGTTATGTCTGTTACTGGAACTTTTGATGTAAAGGAGCATCAGGAAAACCTGTTCCCTTTCTCCAGAGAGAGTTCAACAAACTTGCTCACTTGTGAGTCAGTGGTGTCCTAGGGCTGGTTTTCCAGTGACTTTGCTTTTTGGTTCAAGAGCTGGAGGTATTGCTGAGCTCAGTTTTGTGCTGCGTGCTGTGTGACCTGTTTTTAATGCACATTGAATGAAGTCTAAGATACTTACAGGAGCTATAGTTCTTCTTGACTTAGTGATTTATGCCAAAATAGAGTACGTGGACTTTCAAAAAGATTTTTTTTATGTGAGTGCTCATCTAAGTTTCTTAAGGTAAACTGTCATAGAGTAAATGGAAGGTCTTTTCATAGACCACTAACTTATCAGATGATAGAAATTAAAGGGAAAAAAGGATAAATACTGATAGGATGATAATTGTTTTTGACACATTATTTAGAGTAATCAAAACCGAAATTTAAAGTAGCTGTAACAGTGTGTTGTGATACTGAATGATTAACTGATACAATTACAAATGAATTTCGAAACCAATAAATACCAAAAGTGTACACAGGAAGAACACAGTTGTAACTGTATCTATTCGGTGGTAGTCTCTGAGCTGTTAAAACTCAGAAAAGAGATCTTCAGTCATTGTGATGGTTCCCTGTAAGCGGCAGGTTGGTGCTTAGCAATCAAAAAGGAATACAGGTTTATTTGGAGCTGCTGTGAAAAGAACAGGGGACAAAGGAAAATTACTATAGCATTGGTGCATCAGTATCTTGAATACTGCCTGTAAATTTTGTCACTGCAATGTTCTTGTCCATCTATATGCTTTTGAAAAAAGGTATGATAGAATTGGTGTATGGCAGGAGTGGTTAGGCAAACACAAGGGCCTCTGTTAGTAGGGGCAATAAAACAGTATTTTTCAGCTTGCAATGACAGTGATTGGGGAGGAGGTTGTGGTAAAGAGTCATGAAATCATAATATATATCGAAAAAGCACATAGGAGGAAATTTTTCATTGTTTCTTTAAGCGGGAGAGACTGAGGATGCTTACAGATGTTTACATAGCATGCTTGAGATAGAGAAAAGCATACTTCTTCATACATAATCAAATAATGGAACTCATTGCCAGAGGATACCGTGGAGTTTGAGGATAAATGGGATTAGCCTACATCAGCAGTGAGAAAGAGGCTAAGCATATTGGTCTGATTGGTTCATTATATGCAGTGGTGTAATCTGTGTCTCACAATTGTTTACCAGAAACTAGGAAGGCATAAAAGGGAAAGGGTTGGTACTCTATACTCGCTCTGGTTTATATACCTTTTGTCTTAAGGTGCTTTAGCTGGTTTAGAAAAAGGATACTTGGCAATGTTAAGGTTAGGCTAGGTGATCCTAGATGACTGTGGAATAAGAGTTTAGGTATACATTAAACTGAAACTACTTTGCACTTTATTTTGCATTCAAAGTTAGTAAATAAAAGCCAAATCAGTACATATTGATATGATGGCTTTGAATCAGATAATCAAAGCATGCTGTCATTTTCCTCTCCCCAATAGAATCTTTGATTGGTGAAACTTTTGTTGAAAGGATTATTGATAAACTTCAAGCAGCTCTCTCTAAAGCTAAGGATCTTTCTGAAGCTGGAGATACTGAACCATCAGTATCTTTCATCTGCGATGTAGCCTCAAGCTTCTTCAGCTCAGTGAAAGGGTGTTTACTCATGCCATCCTCAGAAGACTTGCTGCTTACCATCTTCCAGTTGTGTGCTCAGAGGCAGGATGCTACGCATCTAACAGGTAATTTGGAAAAAGAACTTCAACCAAAATCTTCTGTAGTTGATGATGATTACATCTATATCCTTCTTTTTCATTGAGCAGATTGAAGTATATGATAGAGTATTGAGTTCACAGACATGGAGCACTTGCAGCTGTAACTGGCATGAAAATGTGTGCTTTAATTTGCAATGCCAGTGGTTACTACTAAACATCAAGTCCTGTGCATCTTTACAAGGATTTTAAATTTTTTGATGTTAGTGTCCCTGTGCTTCAGCTATCTTTGACGTTGTGATATTCCATGCTTTCTGGAGTGCTACATAAATTATTTAAGGTTTATGAAGTACAAAGAATGAGCACTTTTTTTTTTGTTCATTCTTCAGTGTGAAGTTCCTATGAAAAGATGTATGCAAACACTTCACTAAAGATACATATATTTATCCTGAAACCATTTGTGTTGATCAAGTCGCTTTGACAAATTGCGACCCATTTCTCTCTCTACCAGCCTCTCATTTTCAGAGTGAGATCCTGATTTATATTCTTTGGATGCAGAATTTGAGTGATAAATTGGTACATGCATTTACTGACATAGATATAAAGGAGGAAATGTTGCAGAGTTGTAGAATTGAAGTAGGACAACACTAATCTGAAAACCACTGCTGCTTTGCAGATGAATATTGATGTTATGAAGTATACATTCAATACTTCAGTGTTTTAAACAGATTGGCGGTTGTGAAGACCATATGAACTTACTGTAGTAGACAACAGGAATATCATTCTTATTCACAAATAAAATATTACCTATCTATCAGAGTTAATTTAAAATTGCTTTGCAACAGAAAACCTGCCCTTGATAGTTATTTTGTGTAACCACATAGAAAAGAGAATTCTTTTCCCCCTCTAGGACCTTTAGCCATGTGATTGTTGCTGTATGCTGTAGGTTGTAATTTGAATTTACCTGATTGTGGTGATTTTGCTTGTCTGTTTGTTTTTGGTTTGTTTTTTTTTTTTTTCCCCTTTTCCCTGCAATAGATTTACTGGTATGTAAATTAAAACACACTTGGATGTCTGGTGTAAATTCACTTGTGTGTCAACTTCGGAGTATGCAGAAACAGAGTACCTTTTTGTATAAATCTGCAGTGTGGGTCAAGAATCAAATTCAGTCATCCTCACTGGATGTTAAAAGGTAATTGTGATGTACATGTCCATTCCATAGTATGCTGTTCTCCAAATCAAAGGTCAGTGCTATACTATTCTTTATTTATCTCTGTTGCTGAGAACTGTGGCATAGAACATAACTTAAAAAACCATAGGTGTAGCATGTAGATAGCATTGATACAGTGCATATATAGCACTGTATCAGTGTAGAATAAAGTGGCTTGCTTTTCCTGCGTAGCAACAAACTTGTTTGCAATGTTTTCTCCTTTTCTCAGCCTTCAGGTTTTGATCTCTGCAGTTGGTGATTTGTTGTCTAAGATTATGGAAGCAGATGGACAGTCTGGATATCTTGTGAGAGCTTATGTTGAGCATGTCACGCCAAACACAGCTGAGTGGAGGAAACTACATGAGTGTCTGTCCACTGAGGTATGAAAATGATGATGGACTTGCACCCGGTGGTCAGTCTTACCTCAAGTCTCTTTCCTTTAGGGCGATAAGCATTCTTTATTTTGACATGGCACTGCAGTTAAGAACACACATCTCTGTGTAAAGGTTGTTTTCAGCCTCTGTGTCAGAGGACAAAATCTGTATGCTTATGGTTCCATCCATACTACTGGAAAAATATTTAAATCTGTGAAATTACCCTTTTTTGCATGGAACACCAGCAATTTATTTAACAATTCAGGTTTTTTTTTCTGACAGAATATACATCATGAAGATGTTCTTATCTTTAAGTTAATTCTTCTGTAAGGTCAATTTTGTGAAAGACACCAGTATCTGAAGAGGAACATGATGCACTAGCAACAGATGCTGATACGCAGAATGGGAAAGGACATAAATTTCCTGTCCAACCACCAGTCTTCTGTAACCCTAGTATTTTTGTAGCATATATAGGGTTCTAAAGTTACGTATTTATTTTTGAGGAAAGTTTTAATTTTCTGCTGTGCATTTAGATTTTTTAACATGCTGGAGTGGGTCATCCTCACCATTGAGCTTTTGGTGTTAATTAATATCTTTCATGATTATTCTTTAGTAATTCTGAATTTTCAAGGTTAAACAGATGATAGCTATTCTATGCATCATTAAAATGTCAATTATTCATACTCTTTTCTTATGCATACTTTTTCTTATGCATATATTACAGTGGATGCACAAACCTCTTTTGGAAGGAAGGCTTAGTATGAATTGTGAACCTTTGGGATCATGTGTCAAGCTCTGTGGCACAACTAAACTTCCAGGCCATCTGTGTGCTTCAGCCTTATTAAGTAAAATGGTGCTACTTGTATTGGAAAATGGTATAGTCCATTCAAATGTTGATGCTGAAAGAAAGAAAATTGACAATATAAGTAAGTTACAATAGTAAAACTTAAAGAAATTTGATTTTATAGTAGTTGTAATTTAACCTGAATTGATAATTAGGAATTAGTAGTTAAAGTTTGGAATACAGGTATAAGAAACTGTCCTTTTAGCTTTTGTTGGGTTGGCTTCTTTCTTCAGTTCTCCTTTAAAAGTGTAAGTATGCACAAATACAGTGTTTCTATTTCTAGAACCTTTTGTGGTTACATAAATACTCTCTTAACAGAACTTTGAATTTGGAGAAGTTTGGATTTATAACGAACTTCAGAGTTGTTCATCACCAAAACGCATGGTGCACTGGATGAGTGGGCAATAGGAGCTGTGTCCATACCATCAAATAAATGCCCTGAGTGTTTAGCCATAGTGTAAATGTATTTTGAGGCAGAAATTTTTCTTAATTCCACCAGGTGGAATCTTGTTTCTTTTTATTTATGGAATGCTCAAAGTAGAGCCAGCATTATCAGATTAAGAAATCTATTTCCAAAATTCTTACCATGATGAGAAGTGTAATTGTTCAGTGTGGGTCTTTGTAAGCTAATGAAGAAAGCATATGCTAACTATTAGCATATTACCATCGAGTTTGTTTGTTTGTTTTTTTATTTTCTAGGCTTAGATCTTAATTGGTTTCTTCTGCAAGAAATAGGTATATAAAAATATATATATATATAATAGAGAGGAGTTAGAGTTCTTGACATGCTTGATTTGTTTTAAAATTTCCTGACCATCTAGATTATTGCAGTATTGTCTTCTGTGATGCAATGGCAAATACCCAGTTCATCTCTGATGCACCTGAGAATGTAAATGTCATCTTTTTAATGCATTAAAACCATTCTTAGAAAAACCTCAATACCAAACAAAACCTTGCTGTGAAACGTCTTGCTTATGCACTGAATAAATTCAGCAGGTGTTTGTAAACAACAACCTTTGTTTTAATAGTTGCAGAGCTGTTGTACTCATTACAGTGGATTGAAGAATTGGAGAATCCTCCTTATCTGCTTCTGGAATATCTTCATATGTTAGAAGAAATGCACATCACATATGAGAAGTTCAGTACGCTCAGTGATACAACTAGCCTTCAGCAAACAGTATTTGATAGGTATGTAAGAACAAGTAAAACAACCCTTAACTTTGTCATTGTATTTTGCATTGTATAGAGTATTAAGTGCCACTGTATTTCCTGATGTGTACTGATTCAAACTTCATCCAAATGGTTTTGTTGTGAACTGTGAATCTGTATACATTAACCAGGGTCTGTTGTCTTCTTTGAAGGTCAGAGGAACATGGAAGACTCTGGTCCTTAACCATGGCTAAAGTGATTCGTGTGGAAAACGCTGTATCCTGTGAGATGAAACAACTTTTTAAGACAACAGAAGGGTATCTTAATACTTCTGCCTGTAATCTTTTAGTTTACATTGCAAATGTTGATAATGTTAAATGATACTGATTCTGATGAATGGTATCTGAAGGCTGAAAATTTGGTAAAAAAATGGTAGTGTATGTATGTATATAAAAGTGAAACTTGTTTTAATGTGTGGGATTAGTTACTTCATAGGGTATTAGATCATTGTGAACCAGTTGACATGTTGTTTACTAGTTGAAGTTTGGGGGTTGTTTCATTCTTGATGATTTGCTTGTATAAACAGGTTTCTGCCACTAACGGAGGGCAAATTGCATACACTTCAGTGTTTATCACCTTTTTTAATTGAGGAGGAAAAGAAAGAACTTGTCTTCCACTGTGTGGCCAAACTTATGACATGTACACAGACAGAGCTTTCCAGTACTGATGGTATGTTCTTACCTCAGTCCACTTCCTTAGAATTCAGGAATGTTATTTTGCTTAAAAGTTTGCTTTCAGATAAAATGTATTAGTTGTAATAATATAATCTTTCCTAGAAATAAATGTCTGATACTGCCTGGTCCAAGATCAGAAGTAAAGGATTTAGGCTGATACTGTTAAAAGAATTTTGATACTGCTGTGCTTCTTGTTTGGTCTATTTGATTTAAACACATCTGTAAATATTGAAGTTTTCAATTTAATCGTTTAGGCTTTACACAGCATGTAAAGCGTCAGCTTTGTCAACTGGTGGTGTCATGGTTGTCTTTAGATGCTTTAGCAGAGAACTCTTGCACAGTTTATGTATAATTTTTGAGTAGTTGTTCCAGCGCATGGGATATAGCGTGCTGAGTCAGAACTACTGTATATACCCTTTCAGCAGTTTCTGAAAAAATATTTAGAAGTGATGGAGATGTGTTATAATATTAATTGTTGCTTTTCAAAACTCTTTGGAAGTACTCGCACACAGTCCAAGTTGAATTAGATGTTGATTACAAGAAAGAACTCTCTCTTTTTCTCTCTCTCTCTTTTTCTCTCTCTCTCTTTTTCTCTCTCTCTTTTTCTCTCTCTCTTTTTCTCTGATTACTGCTTTTCTGTTTTCTTGCACATATTCTTATCGATCAGTCTCTCTTTTTCTCTCTCTCTCTTTTTCTCTCTCTCTCTTTTTCTCTCTCTCTCTTTTTCTCTCTCTCTTTTTCTCTCTCTCTTTTTCTCTGATTACTGCTTTTCTGTTTTCTTGCACATATTCTTATCGATCAGTCTAGATAAAAACTTGAAAGTTGATTTTTTTTTTTTATTTTTTTAACAGGGCTTTGCTTGCTTAAATTGAAAAAACTAACTTTGGTGATTTTAAACTGTGGACTTCTGTCCCTTGGCAGTGTCCAGGTTTTCAGATGAGTTCTTCAACTGTATGTCCTCAAAGTATGAGAATTTTCAGTGTTAGTGACATGTGGCAGTTAAGAGGAATTTTGAATCTTTCTCCTGTGATAGTTTCCCCAACTCTTACTCTTTGGACTTAGTTAAGCCTTCCTGGCTTTCTGAGTGAACCAGTGAACCAACTGAGTGTGCCTGCGCAACTTTAAACAGAAAATGGGGAAAAAAGATCCTTGCTCTTCTGAGCACTGCTGTGGAGTGCTCTTGTTTGTAACGCTGATGTGCGGTTTTCTTTCTACAGCTTCTCATTTTCCTAGGGATTCCTGAACAGACAGTATATACCCAAATTTTCCCGTCAAGTGTGACTTAGGCTTACCATTCAAGTTTTAATTTTGTTTTAGATCAGAAAATTGCTGGTAGATTTCTCGTAAATAATTGCACTGCTGCTTTTAAGTGAAGTGGGTCTTTTGTTTGTTTGTTTATGCTATGCATAAATGGTACTTTAATTAACTCGGTTCTTGTTCTCTAAGAAATCTAGATACATGCAGTTTTCCTTAAAAATTGAAAACAGTACTAATGCACAGTAGTACTTCACTCTGAAAGTAAAAATTAAGAGCCTTACAACAATATTGGAATTCACAACTCTCAATTAAATTTACTTTATCTGTCCAGATTATTGCTTAGCATACTACATTTTTAGTAGCACAAATAGATTTAAGTCTTAGCAGGTATTTTTCCTTCTTGTGAATTGTCTAAACCAACAATTGATCTTATAGGAGTTTTTGGTTGGTTTGAGGGTTTTTTGAAGTTTGGGTTGGGTATGGTATTTTTGATTTAACAGTGGCATCTCTGCATTAAGTGTTCAAAGAAAAAAGCTTAGGTATTATCCAGACTATCTTGTGATACTAATGTTAAGATAATAAGTAAAAGAATCCAGTCAATTGACACACATTCTAATGTTTATTTTGTTTTGATAATTAAGTCCTATTGAGTATGGTATTATTATTATGTTATAGGAGCATTTGGGTGTCTTTCAATTTTGAACTCCTGCTTGAATGATAGAAGTATTGATTGTGATCATCTACTACCTGGAATACTAAAAATCATAATATCTTGGAAAAAGGATAATGAAGACAGCTTTCTCTTTAGCTGGTGGGTGCAACTTTGAGATAAGTTGACTTCTAAAAAATTTCTAAAACAAGAGTTTAAAAATACAGAGTGGTTATTTACTCAGTTTGCAAGTTACAACTGCCATCCAATGCTCTAGTGATACACTTTAAAGCCTTTGTAGCTCTCAGTTTAATATCCATGGCTTTAAGTATCTAATAACTTGCACTGAGGAAAATTACGTGGGTCGTTGAAGGCTGAGAAATTTAAGACTTCTTTTAATGCACTGAGATGTCAACTGTTTTCAGAAGTATTTAGAACTGACAAACTTTTGTAGGTGTTGCTGTGGATAGTCCGTTCCAAAATCTGATTGCTTATTTAGGTAGAAGAAAGAAAATTTGGATACCAGACTTAGGTGTCTGGTTTTTTAAAATTCTGGACCTGAGAATATAACCTGGAAAGCTTCCAGCAAGGAGTGAAAATATACTGTGGTTCATTTGTCTTGAGTATAGTGAGAAAAATCCAGGCAACAAAGTCTTAAAATAATTTATGCTATTTGGACATTCGATGGCTTATTTTTTAGGTTACTAATTTTAAAAGTAACCTATTATTTTTCTTGCACTGATTCAATTAAAATTGTGAAATTTCATAGTTTATGTATGTGTATTACTTGAGTGAATATGTAAATTGTACAATTTTAGGAATCTGTATAACAAGCAAGTGAGTGAGTAGCTCTGATTGTTTTGTACCTGTTGACTGACCCATTTAGACTTGGCAGCCAATGTAGTATTTTAACTCCAAAAGACAGAGTATCAAAAGCACGTAGGGCAGAGCCTGGTGCAAGATTAATTTGTCCTAAGAGGATGAGTGAGGGCAAGAGTATAAATACTTGTGTCTACAACATGAAAAAAATATAAGCTTTAGTTGTATTTTTATTGCAGCAATCTGAAAGAAACAAGTGCTCAGTTGCTTGGTTTCAACATAGAGATGATCCGTTACCTTCCCTTGCTGCTGAAGTATTCCACAGCTCCTCTGGCCGATAATGAATGGGACTTTATCATGTGCTCCATGCTGGCTTGGTTAGAGGTAATACGAAAGAGACCATTGCGAACTGTTGCATTGCAGGTTCTCCTGATGCCTCTGAACCTACTGGACTAAAGCAGTGGAGGGCGGGTTAAAAAAACAGGCTATGAAATAACTGAATTTTTATATTCTTACTGGGCTGTCTTATCAACATTTTGTGCTCTGAAAGCTGTATGTTAGAAGTTCACCTGTTTACAAAGCGGCAAGTTGGGTATTGGGTAAAACATTGTAGTAGCTGTGCCACATAGCAACTAAATCTGAACAAAGATGCTTGAGGAATGGAAAGCGGAGTGCTCCTACTGGTTCTTACTTAGCGTTTAGAACACAGCGGTCTTAACATTTTTAACTTTCTGTCATCTAATGTGTGTGTTAACTTTTTAGTATTTTAAAGTAATGATCAATATTAATAGCTAGGTAATCAGCATTTCAAAATAACTTACTTCAAAAAGCTTCTCAATCGAAATAGTGAACTAAGGAAAGAAGCTTTACTTACTGCATGACTGTTAATGTTGCATATCCAGTTTTGATGTACTTACCTTTTTAGATTGTTCGCTGGATATGGCAGGGACATAGTTAGCTTAGCAGATATTTGACACAATGTTAAAAAGAATTGCATGAAATCCTTTTTTCATTGAACTTTGACAAAGGTGTGGCTTAAAACCACAAGCAGTACTGTATTTTCTGTTTCCTTTTTGTATATAGAGTTGAAATTACCACCCCCTTAAAGTAATACTATAACACGTGAAACATCAAAATTATATTCTAAGCTGTTAGAAAACAGGTCAGATTGAACAGCTGACTACTTATTTATTAATCAGCTAAAGACACAGAATGTCTCATATATAT